CGGATTCGTGCTTCCAAGGAAGAAATCCCCTCTTGCACGTTTTCCAATCTGACATTCAGATCTTATCCCACAGACCACGTCAATGGGACTATTGTTGAATTCCCGGGCAAACCCCCCGGTTCTCCGATCCTTTCCTAAGCTTTTCGCAGAGGTTGTGGATGATTGTTCTACCATCTGAGGTCTGTCATTCCCGTGTGTTGTTGGAGCTTGTTGATATCTTCGCTGCGATGACCATTCTTGATTTGTCATACTAATCGTCAGCATCTTACCGATCGTCATCACCAAGAGGAGGCCGACGAGGCCCCAAAACTCTAGGAAAGCGGAGAGAGCTCTCCGCTTATATGGTGCCTTCTATGGTACCTCGGGTGAAATCCGGGGTACCGCATACCTTGGGTATGAAAACGCTATCTAGACCTCGAATTAGCAGGATTTTTGGGCATGATACTATACCCTAAACATTAATGAGTAACCCTATGTCCTAATTAGCCAAATCATAAACTATAAACCCTAAGATGGTGCATTGATTTTTTTGCCTATATTTGGATGAATCATAACCGTCGATTATTATTTCTGATTAAATTGATCTTGGGGAATAAGATGTAGAGAATTAAGACCAAAATGTTGATCTTTAAGAGTTAGATTATAGTATCATGTCCGAAAAATAAGCCAATTCAAGTTCTGGATAGCGTTTTCTTACTAAAGGTATGCGGTACCCTGGATTTCTCTCTAGGTACCGTAGAACTCCCCATATATATATATATATATATATGGGTCAGACTGGCGTACGTCAGGCGTATACTATACGTCAGGTACTACTAGTGAGATATCTCTATCTAGACCATGAATTAAATCGAGTTTGTGGTATGATACTATACCCTAACCTATAATGGATAAACCCAGTCACTGATTTCCTAAACCCCAACCCGATGTTTGATTTAATGAAAAACAAAAACTGACCGTTGAGATTGGCCGAAGCTCATCTAAGTACATCTAACGGCTTGATCACCTGACGTATAGTATACGCCTGACGTACGCCAGTCATTACCATATATATATATATATGGCAAAGGCTAGCGTACGTCCGGACGTACCCTAACCTACCATACGCCCGTTGAGTTTTTCTATTTAGACAATGAATTAACCGGAGTTTGGGGCATGATATTATACCCTAACCCCCAATGGGTGAACCCTAGTATGCAATTCACAAACCCAAAGCATAATATTCATTTAATCTTGAAATGAAGATCAACGGTTCTGCTTCGTCGAAATTATTGTTGATTTTCATTTTAAGATTAAACGAATCTCATGATTTGGGTTAGAAAACTAGGGACTGGGGTTTATCCATTAGTGGTTTATATATATATATATATATATGGCAAAGGCTAGCGTACGACCGGGCGTACCTTAGTCTACCATACGCCAGTTGAGTTTTACTATTTAGATCATGAATTAACCGGAGTTTTTGGCATGATACTATACCCTAACCTCTAATGGATAAACCCCAGTCCCTAATTTTCTAACCCAACTCATGAGATTCGTTTAATCTTAAAAAGTAAATCAACAATAATTTTGACAAATCAAGACCGTTGATTTTCATTTCAAGATTAAATGAATATTATGCTTTGGATTAGTGAATTAGGGACTGGGGTTTATCCATTAGAGGTTAGGGTATAGTATCATGCCAAAAACTCCGGTTAATTCATTGTCTAAATAACAAAACTCAACGGGCGTACGGTAGACTAAGGTACGCGCAGGCGTACGCTAGCCTATATATATATATATATATATATATATATATATATATATATATATATATATATATGGTTTAGGCTAGCGTACGCCCGGACGTACGCTAACCTAGCGTACGCCCCATTGAGTTTTGCTATATATATCATGAATTCATCGGAGTTTGGGGCATGATACTATACCCTAACCTCTAATGGGTGAACACCAGTCCCTAATTTTCTAACCCAAACCATGATATTCGTTTAATCTTAAAATGAAAACCATAGAAAATTTCTACGAATCAGAATCGTTGATTTTCATTTTTAAAATTAAACGAATCTCATGCTTTGGGTTAGTGAATTGGGGAATGGGATTCACCCATTAGGGGTTAGGGTATAGTATCATGTCCCAAACTCCGATTAATTCTTTGTCTAAATAGCAAAACTCAATGGGGCGTACGGTAGGCTAGCATACGCCCGGACGTACGCTAGCCTTTGCCTATATATATATATATATATATATATATATATATATATATGGAGAAATACTATGATCTATAAGGGGAAATTGTAAAATTTGAGATTACTAAAAAATCTCACGTTTGTCATTAAAAATATTTTATTTCATTCATGGTCACTAAAAATAGTGTAATAGTTCAAGGTTGGTCACTCTCCGTTAGCCTCCACTAATAGCGTCATTCTTTTGCTGGCGCGGCACGGAAACACCTAGTCACCCAACTTGAACAACAACAAAAATTCAACTTGGCACGCCAGTATACCAACCACAACAAATAACCAAACCCACCGCAAGATTTGAAATCTAACAAATAAAAATTACTTTTGAATGATGTGAATGGACAAGGTTGTGAAGGGATGTAAAAAGGCTTTTGAATTGATTGTTCACTACTTCACTTAGCAGTGACTATCATATTTATGTTTATTATCTGTAACTTCTGTCTATTTTATCTATGACAACAAAAAAAAAGTTGTGAAGGAATGGAGTCTAAAGCATACTTGTAACATCGGGTGATCTTGAGTGAAGTAATGGAGTTTGGCGAAGGGAATGTGGTGGTGGGATTGGCTTTGCGGGTTTCTCCCCAAATGAGACACTATTGTTTGTTTTTGTCAAACACTATGTAGGTATTTTTTTATCCAGTTCTTATGGAATACTGGATTTAAGGGATGTACTATCTGTCTATGTTGGTGTCTAATGCGCTGTTATCTTGTTGTGACCTTTTGTGGCGATTGTCAAGCCTTGATTCGACGAGTGCAGGAGATGGAGGTGGCATATGGATTGGGTGGAGCGGCTCTGGATGAAATTCGGGTGGCAGTTTCAATTTTTTATATTATCTCTGGTACTTTACTCATCTCAGGTAAACAGGGTTGCCGATTTGGTTGTTTAATGCATTGTAACTATCTAGCTCAAACCTCTATCTATGAAAAAAACAGACCAATATCAATGTACTTTGGCCACATCATTTCAATTTTTTTTAACAAAGATATATTCATATAATGTTGCAAGCGTATTTTCAACACATGTGAGTACACGCTAAGCTTATTAATACATGAATACTTCTAGTGTACGAATACGTCACGTGTTTTGTATAAATATTAACAATCCGCTCATTTTATACTTTTAGATAAAATTTGAATTTTTTTTTTTTTGGCATAGTACGATTTGAATTTTTTTTTTTGGCATAGTACGATTTGAATAGTGTTGGGACATACTTATAAGAGATATAATATTTTCTGTCGTCATTCCCAAGAGAAATCAAAGATTCCACTTTTGGGATTGATCCTTCTCTGGGTCATCATTCCCTCCCTTGTTGGTGTCGAAGTGGATGAAGAAGGAAGCAACTTTTGAGCAAAGCAAGGGAAAAGAACAAAATCGAATTAATTCCCTAAATACAGATAAAACTAAAACAAATTCCTAAACTACCACACTTTTAAAAAAATTTCCCAAAATACCTAAGTTTGGAGTGGTTCGAGTTTGAGGAACTCGAACTACTAACCGGTTCGAGTTTAGGAGACTCGATCTAGTTGTAGATCGATGAAATAAGCCTCGAACCAACTCCTTTGAAATTTCCAACAACCTTAACTTTGTGCTTGGTTATCCGATCGTAGCAAACTTTTTTTTCATTTCACATAACTTTTCGAGGACTACAACTTTTATAATAGAAATATTTTCAGAATATATGTGAAAATGTGAAAAATAAAGTTAAATTTACTCCCAAACCACCTTATATTAAAAACTGTTCCTATTTTGAAAATTTATTCCTAGTAAATATTGTAGCACTCAAAAAATTATGCAAAATAAAAAAAAACTTTGCGACATTCGGATTATGGAGCACAAAGTTATGATCCTCTAAAGTTTGGCAAAATCGAAAAATTGCTCATTTAGGGGTAACAAATGAAATTTTCTCGGGGCGAAGGCACGGGAAATTTTTTTATATATAGGGAATTTCTGCCAAAAGAGCAATATTTTTCCAAACAGGAAATTTTTGGATGGCTATCTTCCTAGAAAACGTCATTTGCTACCCATAAACGAGCAAATTTTCGAATTTGTCAAACTTTGGAGGATCATAACTTTGTGCTCCGCAATCCGAACGTCGCAAATTTTTTTTTGTTTTGCATAATGTTTTGAGTACTACAACATTTACTAGGAATAAATTTTCAAAATAGGAATAGTTTTTAATGTAAGGTGGTTTGGGAGTACATTTAACTTTATTTTTCACATTTTCACATATATTCTGAAAATATTTCTATTATAAAAGTTGTAGTCCTCGAAAAGTTATGCGAAATGAAAAAAAAGTTTGCTACGATCGGATAACCAAGCACAAAGTTAAGGTTGTTGGAAATTTCAAAGGAGTTGGTTCGAGGCTTATTTCATCGATCTACGACTAGATCGAGTCTCCTAAACTCGAACCGGTTAGTAGTTCGAGTTCCTCAAACTCGAACCACTCCAAACTTAGGTATTTTGGGAAATTTTTTTAAAAGTATGGTAGTTTAGGAATTTGTTTTAGTTTTATCTGTATTTAGAGAATTAATCCAACAAAATCATTTGTACATGCAGTAAGAAAGTAGATAAATTATAAAGAAGTAATAACTAATGGATCTGTTTTGGGATGCGTGGTTAATTGAGGATATGTCGCAGAATCCGAGGTTAATTCCATTAATATGGGTGGAGCGGCCAATATCACAAACTCTCGGATACCCACAGAAATCCCTGATGGACACGTGTAAGGGACCTAGATAGTAACATTAATATATATATATATATATATATAGAGAGAGAACGGTCGGTTGGTTAACATACGACTAGACTATTAACATTATTATTAATAATTAATTAATTATAGGTAAGAAGGGCCCATCCCATGACATGATTAGTAAGCCTAAGCCGTAATCCGTAGGCAGGAAGGAGAATATATGATATGATGTAATGAGTCCCAAGGGAAGGGAGCAATGCTGATGCATGCAGCAGTAGCAGTTTTAGAACATATTAGAAGAAGAAGAGTGGGAGGTGAAGGAGTTGAGGGTGAGCTCAAGTGAAGCAAATGAGTTGGTGGCGGCGGCGGCGTCGTGGCAATGATCGGAGGCGGCGTACCAGGTGGCGTAGGGACAGGGTGGTGGGGCAGAGAAGCCATTGATGAGGTCCTCGCGGTGAGTAGGGAAGAGAGGCAGCGTCTCAATCTCAATCTCTTGTTGTTGGTGATCCTGATGATCTTCCTCTAGGGCGCCGGCGCCATGGTGATGAATGAAGAAAGAGCTGTTGTTGGTACTACTAGTACTGTATGGGTGATGATCAAAACCTCCCCAGCCATAGCCATAGCCATAGCCATAGCCATTGCCATAGCTGTACTGCCCACCCCCAACTTTGTTGCTATTACCTCCAGCTGATGAGATTGAACAGTCCTGATCACCATCCATCATCAACCCAACACAGACAAATTAAAAGGGATGAATGAGTTAGTGAACAAGGCAAATAAATTAAGCAACTCATCATAACATAGCATTAATTAATTAATATAGAGAGATCCTATCCTATGTGTTTTTTTGACTAGACTACCCATCTTCTATTCTTCTTATTTTGGGGATGACAAGGAGAAACGGGTGGTGTGAAAAAACATGACTAATTTTCGATTATTAACTTGGTTGGTAATGGTAGGCCTGTCTGTCTGTCTGTCTGTATATCTTTCCCAGCGCCTAGGTTCTGTTATTATGTACATAAACAAACATTGAATCATCATCGTTACTTGGTTTATCTGCTCCATGTATGTATATGGCCAAACGCCAGCCAGCCAGCCACACATGGGCTTGGCGGACGGGATGTCATGAGGGATCGAGAGGAAAGTAGTTATTCAGCCTTTCTTTCTAACTGGCATGTTGTTTTCTTGCCATTTTCGGTAACGCCATAAAACAAGATCCAAAAAGCATCACCAATTTGATCATGGGAGTATAGGTTAGGTAGGGCCCACAGATCTCATAATCTTTTCTATATATATATATATATGTTGTGGGGAAAAGAAAAAAAAGATAATCATTGATATTTGAGGGGCACTCAGAAAGTACTCACTCCAAAGCTCTTCTCCATGGTGAGAGAGGCATATCCTCCATAGCCGCCCCCATGCCCCAGCGCTCCAGTACTTGAAGGCTGAACTGCTGCAGCAGAAGAAGCTGAGGAATTTATTAATTAATTAAGAATAAAAAGGAGGAAGGGGCCGGGGGAGAAGAAAAAAAAGACACATTTTGAATAAAGGAGGAAGTGCAGATCGAAATATATATATACCGGCGGCGCGGGTGTTTGGGTGGTGGGTGGCGACGGCAGAGGCAGAGGCAGGTTGGTTGGTGAAGCGCTTCTTCTGTCGCTCGCGGGCTTTATGGTTCTGGAACCAGTAGAAGACATTCTTGCCTTCGATCTTGCCGTACCTGCGGAGGTCGGCGGAGATCCTCTGTATCTGCTCCGCGCTCGGGGACCTAACTCCATCGTTGTAGTAAAGCTCCTTGAGGATCCTTATCTGCTCCGTCGTGGGCGTCCACCGGCTGCTGCTTTGCCTGCACAGGAAGCTTCCTTTCACTCCGTTGCTGCTGTTGTTGTTATTATTGCTATCAACATTATTCCCGCCGTTCATCATCTCCTGTTCCATCTTCTTTTTCGTCTTGGCTGCTAGCTGCTCTTGTTTGGTTGTTTTTGTTTTTTTTTGCTGGGATTGGATAGCAGTAGCACAAGCTAGGAAGAGTGAGTGGTGGGGGAAAGCAAACAAAAAGAGCTGTGGCTTTGGCTTTGGGGGGCTCAAAAGGAATGAGTGAGAGTAAAGAAATATTTGTGGGGGTTGGTTGGTGTGACCGAGAATGATGAGGAAGAGAATAAGGAAGGAAGAAAGGTTGGAATATATAAAGGGAGATTTGGAGGTAGGGAGTAGGGAGGGAGGAGGCGTTTCTACCTCCACTCGCTCTAACTCTAATATGAAGACTGAAGAGGGGGCTAAAGGGCAGTGGCACATGGGCCGGAGACTGAGAGTGAAACTACTCTACTACAAGATGAAGGAAGGGAATTAAGGCCAAGAAAGAAAGACAGAGAGAGAGAGAGAGAGAGAAAGGGGAGGGCATATCACAGAAATCTATCTGACAGAGAAAGACTGATATGAAGCTGACAGACGCAAAATACGAAATACCCCAAATCAAAAAATAAAGGGGAAGGGGGCATTTGGGGATTTTCCAGTGCCACCATATTCATGAAAATGGTGGGGAGGGAGTAGGGACAAAACAGGCTGGTTTCGGAATCCAGAGAGATACATACCCAAACCAATACAATATTATGGAGGAGAGGAGACTCACAGAGTGAGAGTGAGAGTGAGAGGTTAGAAAGAAAGTGGGAAAAGCAAAGCAACTTACTTGGATCAAAAGGCATGACGATATGGTAATACTCCCTATGCCACTTTCGGACGCCCTCCTTACTCAGCTCCTTTCCTGCCCTCCTTTCCTGCCCTACAACTACAACTACAACTACAAATTACTCTGCTTTTCATCATCATCATCATTGCCATTTTTAATCACACTACATACCCAGAAAAGCTTTTACAATTTACAAAAAGAACACAAGGGATACAAATGGAATGGAAGAGAGTGAATGAAACAAGAGTGGCTCCTACTTCCAATGTGGATATGAATTAATGATTTCATAAATTACCGTACATGGAGTGAAATGGAGATGAGTAGCTACAGTTACAGAAAAGGGAAACCATTTATTGAATATGTACAAAGCAAAAACCCCTACTACTCTTCCTACCCAGCTAATACCAATGCTACTTTGTGCTCGAGGATTTTTTCTCTTTGGCTGAGTTCCAGAATTTTATCGGTTTGCTTTTGACTAACCCATGTCCATCTGCTGGCTGCACCTACGTTTTCCCTTTCTATCCCATCCTTCTTCCTCTATTCTTCAATACCTCCCCGCCTGATAGATAGAAATAAGTACACGGCAACGAAAAATTCAAGGTCGACAACAACTGTAAATTTGGGAACAACCGTGGTGAAGGGGAGAGGAGAAACACTTCCATTATGATTCGATTTAACTCATATAATTCTCTTTAATCCTATGTTTGTTTTCATATTTGATTTGATCGAATATGAAAAACTGATGCACTCTTTGCTATCAAATTATTAACTAAAGTTTAGGTTAATTGGAAAATTGTTTAGCCAAAAACAGAACCTTTGAAAGCTATCCCTATACTGTTTCTTCTTCAGTTGTCTAAGAAGAGGTAAAGAAAAGACAGCTTTAATTATCTACAAGAATCCGAAGCCAAACTTAGCAACTAAATTAAATATACACCTTTAAATTCAATTCCAAATAAACCAAAATAATATGTAAAAATCATGGAGAACAACTAGACAAAATAATAATAATAATAATAATAATAATAAGAAAGGGGTGAAGAAAATTTGGAAAAATATAACGAGATTTTTATATTAGTTTATGTAGGAGGACGAGAAATAACTACAATATACATTTACCGTGCATAAAATGAAGGATTGTAAAATTGTACCATATTAGCGGTACCACCAAGCTAACTGGAGACAAAACTAGTAGGTGCTTTTAGCGGTATTAAACGGTTGAACCACGATTTAATCACAGTATTAGCATAGTCATTAATTTTTATGGTACAATCTCCGGTACGATTTTACAATCATTGCATAAAATATGGGAAGGTGGTATAATAATTTTGAATTTTTGGTGAATAAAGGTTGTATAAATTCAACGATTGAGGGGAAGGATTTGTTCAAAAAACCATTGATGAAACTTCCCTTTGATATAACTAAAGAGATCGATTTGATAGTACCATATTTCTCTCTCTCTCTCTCTCTTAAGTCCCCTTCCAATCTTAATTAGGGCTGGGACACATACACACAAACCATCAACCCTGATCCAATCCAACTCGGTCCAACCCAACCCGATCAGACCAGACCAATCTCTCCCTATATATGTATTAGTCTGAGTAATATTATATTGATTATGTTCCTTAGGCACAGATACCTTCTTCAAAGCTTTCAATACTGTCTGCAGGCTAAGTGAACTGCGTCTGCCTTTCAATTCTTACCAGCTTTTTCTTACCACTGATTTTCTTTCTTCACTGCATGTATTAAGAGGCCCTTGATTTTGTTGTTGTTGAAACGGAATGGATATATTATACAGAGAGGGTAGGTGGGGGGACCTCTTGATTCTGTAGAGCTGAATAAGTAAACAAGGAATAGGAAGAAAGGAGAATTACTACATGTGTTTGGGAAACTGCAGTTTTTCTGGAGCAGCTGTTGTAGCTGTCTAGTCCAGTTTTTCAGTTCATAGGCCGGCGGTAGCTGTGATTTCTAAGCATTTATTTGTGGATTTTTTTTCCATTTCTGGCTTCCCCTTCTTTTTCACTCCTTTTGGGCCATTGGGGCCCAATCAATCCACATGAGGGTGGGCAATATGGAGGTAAATTATGTCTTAAGGTGGGTCTGAATCAGATTTTGTAGTCTGTCTTACAAAATCAATGCAAGTCATTAGATAAAAGGTGAACATGCAAGAGATATTTGACACAATAGTTTGGAATTAGTTAATCAGAGAAAGTACAAAATGGGTTATGCGGTTTCCCAGGCCTGGCCATGTCCTGTGTTGCAGGCCCGTTAGCACTGGGCCTCCACTAAAATTAATAATTTTAAGACTAGTGTGGTTTACATGGTTACATAACTTACATTATTGGAATCTGTTTGAGCTTTGATGCCACGTCACCGATCTCACTCCTTTGACGGTAGGCGTCTGACCTACACACAAGAACACAGAGGGGGGCGCCCGGGCCCATTAGCCCTCCGACAATCAAGTCAGTTTCCTTTCTAGAGAGACAAGTGCGTAGTAAGTGAGTTCAGTGAGAGTCCAATCTGTGTTAATGTTACCTACCGCTCCTATTTATACTCACCCAACCCGAGGTCGGGCTCCTCCACGTTAGCACTGCATTTAATGTTTTGTACCTTCCTTTTTGTCAGGCGCCCCAACCGCTAGGGGTGGGCAATGGGCGAGTTGGGTGGATTTTGGTCTCAAATTGACCCATCCGCTTACTAGCAGGTTGAAATAATTGTGACCCGCAATCCACCTACATACTTCTGTGGGTTGGGTTGGGTGGGTGGCGGATTGGTGCGGTTGGGTCGCGGTTCAACCCGCAAAGCAATTCTCCAACTAGCCATTAAGAAAGTTGGCTAACATTTATAATAAGTTCATAGCAAAATTAGTAAGACTCTATCAATAATTTGTGACTTTGATACAATTAATAATTTATAGTTTGCATCCCAATATTTAATGATTATTAACAATAATCTGCATACCAATATCCAATATCTAATGGATATTGCACAGCACAATGACCAATAAAAGTAGTCAAAACTATTATTTATCCTTCACTTTTTGAAGTATATGGTTAGACTGTATTGCAGTTCGAAAATATGATGAATATTCGATACTATAAGAAACATCATTTTTCATGTAAAAATAGGATGCGAGTCATATGGGTGACCCGCAATCCACGCACCATCCACCCACATAAGTGCGGGTGGGAGATTTACCAATCCGCAATCCACGCACATCAAACACCCACTGCGTGCGGGTCGGGTTATTTGCGGGTGGATCGATATCAATCCGCGGATTAACCACCCACGTGCCCACCCCTACCAACCGCCTTGTCAGCCTTCTGACAACTGACAGGCGTTTGGGACTAGGGGGACCATTGACAGCCTGGACTTCTTTGGAGTCTTCCATATCTTGTCTCTATGTGACCCTCATCCTATTTGGACTGGGCCTAGCAGGCCCATTCGTGGACTTCTCCTACTAAGTAACCACCTGTTTTCATTGGGCTTGTCATGCCCTTGCTTGGGCTTTATTCCTTGTAATATCCCCCAACAATTGCCCCCAGTTAGGCTCTCAAGTCACCAAAACTTGAGGGCCTGACTATACTGCCTCGTCTTACCACTTGAATAAGGCTCCCAAAGTTTGTCGTGGCAGGATCCTGGCTCTGTCGAGGCAGGGTGCTTCCTCCTGAGCCATTTTCGTACTTGGGTATCTGCTCCGCACTCGGAGACCGAACTCCATCGTTGTAGTTAGGGGTGGAAGTTTGGTTTGCGAGTTGCGGATAACCCGCAAACCGCACCAAATCGCACACTTTGTGGATACCCATACCCATAATTTGTGGATAGTGGGTTGGGTGTGGGTAGCAAAATATTGATTTTGTGGTTAGTGGTTAACCACTACCCACAGCGGTTTACCCACAAAATCCACATTAATCACATTAGTTATATTTATTTCTTCAAAAATACTTTGTAACCCTTATTAACCACATTAGTTATATTAGTTTGTGAAACTTGGAAGACTAAGAATTAAAGTAGCTACTAAAATCAAATACACACTTATTCTATAAAACAAAATCAAGTCAATACGCAATGTTCATGTGAGATACTTTTGTCAAATAAGCATTGTACGTGTGGTATATGTTTATTTTATAACAAAATCAAGTCCATAGATATAGTCAGATAAATTAATCGATTCGTTAAAAGAGGGGAATAATCGATAATAATTTGTCTGATACCCAAACTCATCTCCATTTCTCAACGAATTCACGAACAACACAACATGCAACCAACTACCAACAATACAATACTATAATCGAGAGTGGAAAATAATCGATTCATTAAAAGCGGGCGCCTCCACTTATCGAGCCATTTTTGTGTTTTGCTGTTGTTGCCATCGGAGGAGTCGTGACATGCAACGATGTTTGTCTGGTAACAAGTCACTCCGCCTCTCCGCTATCTTCAAAATTCTTTCCAAATCCATCTCTTCTGAATTTACACTAACTAACCTATTGTATTCGAGACTTATAATTTATTTATCACTATATTAACTTTCTTTTATGTATGTTTTTGTTTTTGTTTGAGAAGAAACACAACATCACTATTTAATTACCATATTATTATATTTAATATGATCTTTTTGTGGGTATCCACAACCAACCCGCAGCGGGTAGTGGG